CGGCGGGCCCGGAGGACTCCACCGCTCACTTGGGCCTCTAACGCACTTGCAAGCCCGGGCTCCCTTTCCCAAGTTCTTGGGGTCCCTCCAACCCTGACTAGGACTTGGATTCTGCTGTTAATCTGGAGGCTCCCTCCTTGCCCCGGGGAACCCAAGAATGTGAGAATGTAAATGAAAGAGACGGCAGAGAAGTGTGGACGCTCCTCTCCCGAGAGAATGAGGAAGGGCGCCCCTCCGCGTGGTCGCTGACCCTGTGCCACCCGGCGGAAGACGGTCCTGGTTGATGTAGTCAAGGCAGAAGAGGGGGCACGGAAGCCGCCTCTTGATCTTACCCTGCATTCTGCTAGAAACAGCGGCATTCATTAAGCATCTCTAGTGGGCTCAGTGCTGTGCCAGTCACTACGGGGGTGGGCAAGGTAAACCGGAAGGGGCTGGGAGGTCATCCTGGAGGGCTTCATGGAGGAAGTGGCACTTCAGCTGAGTCTCAAAGGACTCGGTAGGTGACACAGGGAAGAAAGGCTGTTTCAGAGAGCGAGAGAGTTTGGGGAAAGGCTGAATATGATAGTCCTGAAGCTTTCCAGATGTACAGTGGCAGGAGGATGCAGACTGGTTGCAAAGAACCTTTAATCGCGGCAGGGCTGGGACTAGAGTGCAGAATTTAAGGAGACACTCTCGGCACAACCCTGAGAGTGAGTGCCTACTTAATAGTTGGGCCCTAGATGCCTCACTTGCCTTACCCTAGTTCCTGCTCTGACTGGCTGGTTAAGGATGTAGCCTTTATTCTGTAGGTACAGGAGAGCCATGGAAGGTTCTTGAGCACTAGTGTGCTCAAAATAGATTTTAGGAAGTTTGTGATATGATTTGGGATGAGGGGAGAAGTCTGAGAGGCTTGGCTGAGGGTAGCTCTTTCTCCTGCTACTGAGGGACATCTCTGGTCAGGATCCCTTTCAAGTTGGGCGTCTGACTGCCCTGAACTGTTCTAGCCCAATTAGAACAGTCTGTGGATATCAGATATGGTCACCACTTTATTTCATGTGTGGGGCTTCCATGTGCAGCATCTTAGTCCTTTTGTATTTTGCATATGGGGAAACTGAGGCCCAGAGAGGTTACATCAATTGCTGGCAAGAACCAGGGCCTAAACCCAGGGCTTCTGACGTCTGATTTCTGCTCTTACTCCTCCACTTTGGCTGCTAAGGGGTGAGGTCCCTCTTTACTCGAGTATGAGCTCCCTATCAGCTAGGATGCTCCCTGGGGATGGGGTGAAGGGCTGGTTCCTCTCAGGGTGTCTCTGCCCTCACTGGGTGCCTCTGGGCCCATTCTCAGTATCATTGCTGCTCTTGACAGAATATAGAATCATTCTGTCTTATTCCTAGGATGCTTGGATTTCCTCTGCTGCATCCTTACACACCTCTAATGACAAGGTGCTCATTACCTTTCAAGATAGCCCATTTCTGCCCTGTTGGCAGGGTTTTTAAAAATTGTAATCAAAGAAATACATGCCCATGATTAAATAAAAATAGCACAGAGAGCTTAGAGTAAAAAGCAACAGTCCCATGTTCAACCTGAGACAACCATGTTAGCATCTTTTAGCACTTTCTACCCGTTAAATTCATATTTCTAAATAATAGTAACAAACTATGTAGCAGTTTCTGTGGACCAGGCCCTCCTCTAAGTTTTTGCACATATAAACTCAACCACAACTATTGATGAAGGATCTACTATTACCCTCTGTTTTGCAGATGAGAACATTGAGGTACAGGATGGTAAGTAACTTGCTCAGAATCTGGTTAGTGGCAGACCTGGGATGTGAACCTAGGTGGTCTCCAAAGTCCACACTCTTAAAAGCTATGTTCACCTGCTATTTCTTGGTTTATCAGTTTTACCCTCTAACCCAATGTTTACCAACTGACTTCTTCCTATTATGATTTGGCTCACTTATACCTTCCTCATCTTCACTAGGTGGTGTTTTTATCTCTATTTTTAGTGTTCCTCTTTGTTACCTTGGTAGCCTTAGGGAATTGCATATACCATGACTTCTTTTTTGGTCAACTGTAGGCAGTATCCCTTATTTTTTAAAAGAATAGTAGTCCCCCTACCTACTCTAACCTTTAGCTGACTTTACCCTTTCCTCCAACTCCTGTCATATATAATTTCACTTTCATGTTCTCAAGGTTGACAGTATTTACCTGCTGGGGTTTTTTAACATATTGTCCTCAGTGTTTTGTCTGGGGATTGATCTTAAACTTTGAAAATCAATATATAATATTTACATTAGTTACGCCAAGTAAATAGTGTTCGCTACAGAGCCAAGTAACATTTAACAGTTACATTTGCTTGCTTATACTGCTTTTGTTTTCCCTGCAGTTTCTAATTGCCTTTCTTTTTTCCGTCTTATTGTTTGCCTTTATTTCCTCTTTTTTTTTTTCTCCAAACTTTGCATCGTGTCAGGTATTTCACCATTCTTTATGTAGAACCAAAATCAGTCTGTCCCTATTCACGGTCGCTGCTTGACTCCACCTTGGCCAGGACCCTCCTCTTCTGCGAGGCAGTCGTACAGATGCTGCTGACTGCTTTGAATATTTCAGCTGTACGGTACGCGCTCCCCAGCTGTTGTGGTATCAGTTTCCCCATATGGTAGACACATCAAGCTGTGGAGGAGAGAAAAAGCCAACCTTGTTTCAGGTTACCTGCCATTGTGCTTTCACCATGGCGCTCAGTAGTAGTTTCTGATGATTGAGATCTAGAGCTGGCACAGGCTGGCCAGGGGGGTGGGGGTCAGTGTGTGAAGTCTGTGGAGTCAGCAGCTTGGGACAGGCTTAAGGTTGTGCATCCCCAGGACAGCGGATGGGGGAGAGGATGACTTCACCATCCATGATGTGTCTCACGTGGTCAGAGATCCAACAGAAAACAGTTAGATGCTGATCAGTGATTCCCAAGCTGGGTGTCTGCCCTGTACCTGCCCTTTTTTTCCTGCCCTGCTAAGCCAGGCTGCACTAATGGCAGGGATCCCCGTCGACTGAGGTACTTCCTGAGGTGGAGGGGGAAATAGTTATTGAGCCCCTAGTATGGTCACAGCTTCCCAAGACACACACCTATGTGCTTTCCCAGGCTTTCAAAATGCCTTTCTTCCCTGTTCCAAACATCCTTCTCTTTGCCCAGTTTGGAAATTTCTGGAGCAAAACACTGAGGGCTCTTATCCTCCATCCTAGTTCTTCAGGCCTGGCAGTTATCACTGTCTGCCTTGTTGAGGCCTTGGCCTGATGGTCACTAAGGGGAAAGGGCAGGGTGGGGCCTCTATACCAGTCACTGAGCATAGATCCCTGAGCAGTCCTCGAAGTTCGTTTCTGAATCTCCACCCAATCTGAAGGCCCAGCCAGCCCCTCCTCTTCCTCTCCATCGTAAGCCAGGCATCTCAACTCCATGCAGTGCCTTTCTCACTTCCACCTCCAGGATTTTGATCCTGCTCTCCTGCCTGGTTAAATCCACCCATCTGTGCTGTGAGGCTCCCTTGTTTCTGTACTTTGTGTACTGCTCCAGGCTGCACTGTTCCCTCTCTAACTTGATCTCCTAATTTGCTGCATAGCTTATTCTAATAAACAGAAACAGAATAGTAAGTGATTAAGAGTACATGTCTTAAATTCATGTAGACCCAGGTTTGAATTCTGTGCTATTCAGGACTCCTAGGTTGCAAGTGACAGCAAGCCAGTGTGAACTGTAGCACCCTTAGCAAAAGGGGAATGTACTGGCTCATGTGGTCAAATCACTGGCCTTGGGGATGCCTGGAACTGGGAGTGTGAACACTCTCAGGGCTTTTTCTCCCCATTTTCCTTGATCCTTTCAGCAGGGCTGCTTCATTCTCACCAGGCTGTCCCTTGAAGCTGGAACCTTGGCCAAAGGCAGCTCTAGGTTTGCATCTTAGTGCCCCAGCACCAAAAAGGAAGGAGCACTTTCCATGAACTCTAGTTAGAAAATTCCCACTTGGTCCGGCCTGGGTTACTGGCTCTCCCTGTGGCTGAAGAAACATCATCTGTTACAGAAGATTCAGAGAGTGGGAAATAGGCTGACCAGAGAAGAGTCGCAGCTCCTTACTACAGTAGGGGTGACCTTGGCTAAGCACAACGCCTGTAAGCCTCAGTCTCCTTATCTGTAAAACAGGAGGGTAAACGCCCTGCTTCCTGGTGTTGCTGTGAGGATGAGATGAGACGGTGCAGGTGAAGCTCTTAGCGTAGCACAGTCATAGTCAGTTGAGGGGCACTGCTCAGAGGGTACAGGAAGACTTAGCTAACCTGGGAAAGGCCCACTCCACCTGTCTTGCCTGCGACCAGAGATGAGATCCCCCAGGAGCTTCCAGTCTCTTGGTTGCTCTACCAGTCCAGTGTGGACCATCCCTGGAATTGGCTGAAAAGAATTCTGGAAAGTCATGGAAGCAATAGCCATGGCAGGAAAAACTCTGTGGTGCCTTTAAGCTAATGTTTGCAACTAAAAAGTGAATGGTAATTGATATTGTTGCAAATCAGCCGGTGATCACTGAGCCTAAACTAGGCACTGAACTGAGAACTCTGGAAAATACAAATCCATGTCACATCATTTCTGTTCTTGGCACAAATGGACAATAAAACACACACTTCAATCATCTGAGGAAGTAGTGGGCTGCCTGTCACTAGAGGTGTGCAAGTAGTGGCAGGGATGATGGGAAGAGGATTTGAACTCTCATGGGGAGATGGGTGAATTGAGAGAAACTTAAAGGTCACTCCTCTTCTTGAGGGTCTAGGTAAGAGAGGAAAACCATCCCTGTGATGTCATGGCCAGGCTGTGAGTTAGAGATAAATCACTCCCTGTAACGGGATTAGTGGAGCTTTGGGAAAAGTTTCATCGGGGAAGCCTTTCTGGAGGAGGTGGCACATGCACTGGCCCTTGAACTTCAGCTCATCTGTGAAGAGCAGAGGCTAACTGCTCTTCAAAGATGTATTGTCAGATGGTGCTCCACTTCTTGCCATGGCTCTTACATCAACTTGTCCCTGCTGGCATCCTTCTTAGGTTTGACTATGGATTGGAGAGAAGAGGGATACCAGCAGCCCCATTCCTACTTTATTGTGGTTCAGGAACCAAGAGGAGGGAGGCCCTGTTCATCGCAGTCTATAGTCTATAATGCAAATTTCACTAGAGGGCTTTGATTAGTCCAGCTCAAGTCACATGCCCACCCACAGACCAGTCACTGTAGACACAATGATGGGATAGAGGCTAAAAATAGAAGCTCTGGCCCGTCTGGTGGTGGTCAGTGGTTGAGCGTTGTCCCATGCACAAAGACAAGAGTCACCATTTCAGTTCCTGGTCAGGGCACATGCCGGGGCTGCGGGCTCGATCCCCAATAGGGGCTGGGCAGGAAGCAGCCAATCGATGTTTCTGTCTCTCCCTCTCTCTAAAAAACCAATAAAACGATATAAAAGAAAGAGGCGCCATTTCATAAAAAATATATATACACACACACAGAGACATATACAGGGGTGGGCAAAAGTAGGTTTACAGTTCCTATGGAAAAAGGCATGCAGGTTATGATGATTACAATAGCTTTATTAACTGTTTCACGTACAACTGAAAACTACTTTTGCCCCACCCTGTATGTGTAAGATCTCTGGAGCCTTATCATTTAGGTTCACATATTTAGCAGTGTTAACTAGGCAAGTTACTTAATACCTTGGGCCTCCGTTTTTCACTTATAAAATGAGGGTAATATTCCATCCTCAAAGGGTTTCTGTGAAGATGAAAACAGCCAAATGAGATAATATATGTAAACAGCTATAACATGTAAGTAGTGCCTGGAATATAGTAAGTGTTCGATAAAGGTTAGCGACTGCCATCCATCATCGTGTCTCGTGGTTTTCAGCTGCATTTGCATCCTTTGCCCCATTTGATTTCCTCATCATTCTAGAGGTGAGAAAACCAGACAGTTATGCCTGTTTGGCAGCTTCCTTCCTAAGTCACAGAGAAGTGCAAGTCAGGGCAGCTGGAGTTCACTCCCAGGACACCTTCCCCTTGGCCATAGGCCCAGACCCCCGTATTTCCTGCAAAATACTTTTCCTCTAACTTAATTCTGTGTGTTTCCTCCTGCCCCCCGATCCCCAGGCCTTTCTGTGGCTTACTGTGAGGAGGGGAGAGGGGCACCGGTAGGGGAGATTCCCATGGGAGGAAGGGAGAAGCCCTGACCCCTCTCATCTCGTTCCTTCCCAGGCACAGCTCCATCAAAGCTGATGAGGCCGCCCACACAGCTCCCTTCCACCTCGACCTCTGGTTCTACTTCACCCTGCAGAACTGGATTCTGGACTTTGGCCGCCCCATTGCCATGGTGAGCGTGAAGCTGTGAACGGAACCCCAGACAGCAGAGAGACTTAGTGTGACTCAAATTAGCTGAGTGACCTTAGACAAGTCATTTCCCCTGCTGGTAAACTGTGAAAATAGGCCTGGGTGATTTCATGTCCTTTGACTCTGTGACTGTGGCCAGTGAGGCAACTACCAGCAAATAGGGGAGGGAGTCTGGGGGCCTGAACAGTCATACTGTGCCACCCACCCATGTCTCACCTCTAGATCACCAAGCTGGAGGAGTATGGAAAAGAAAGCAGAACATCCCCTCTGGCCACCCCACAGCCGTGGAATAGTGTTGTTTTTCTGGAGGTGAAGGGTATAGGCTGATTTTGCATATTAATATGACTCTGAGCTTCAGATAGTTTTGTGCCATCTGGTGGAACTGTCCCCTTCCCTCTAAGGCTACTTCATGCATCAGTGTATAGTGGGGGTCTCCAGGGATGAGGTTAACATTGGAAGAGCACCAAAGCCCCTCACTTGTAATAGATAGGTGATAGATGATGATAGATAGATAGATAGATAGATAGATAGATAGATAGATAGATAGATAGATAGACAGATAGATATATAACAGAATGTGAGAATAAAAACTGAAGGAGGTGCCACCATATACCAAGTTAATTTTCATGTGGGGGTGATAAAAATAACAACATCCATCACTGAAACCAACACCCTGTACATGCTAGTGATAATGCAGATTAGCAAAGCCCTTTGAAAAGCAGTTTGTCAAGGTGATAACTAGTACCTAGAATAGTGCCCAGCGAGGTAAGTGCTCAATACACTTTTATCAAATGAATAATAAGAGTAAGGTAGAAATAGCAGCTAACATACATTAAGTGTTTACCCTGTTCCAAGCTGTTTACGTAGTTAAACTTATTTAGTTCTCACATAAGCACTATTAATCTCAACTTTACACATGGGAAGAGTTGAGGATAGAGAGGGTAACAGGCTCTAGCTCCCCCAGTTAGCAAGTGGAGGACCAGCATCTGCACCCAGGCACTCTGGCCCCAGAGCCCAGCCCCTTCCCATTATGTATATCCAGAACCCTGATGTGTTCATCCCTTCTGACCTAGTAAGGTCCTTTCCAAGAATCTACTCTGAAGACGTAATCAGCCAGACACAACAGCGTCTCTACCCAAAGATGTTCATTGCAGCATTGCTTACAATAGCCAAAACTTGCAGCAGTAGGGACTGGGTCAATCAACTTTGCTGTATCCAGTATAGAGAATGTTTCCTGGCCATTAAGCAGGAACTACGGATACTACAGAGCAACCTGGAATGTTTGAGGAGAAAAGAGGTGCCTCAGTGGCATGCATGCTGACTGATTACAAGTCAGTAACAACCCTAACAATCTTGTATACATGGCTCAAAGATGAAGGGGATGAAGAACAGCTTTCCTGGCAGTGTGTCAGGAAGGAGGTATGGTGGATGCTGGTTCTCCTTTCTGTAGACATGTTTTTTTTTGTTTGGTTGGGTGTGTTTTTTAAGATTTTACAGAATTTTTTTTAATTAAAAAATTTTCTTTTCAAATATATCTTTATTGATTTTAGAGAGAGGAAAGAAGAGGGGGGAGAGAGAGAGAGAAACATCAATGATGAGAGAGTCATTGATCGGCTGCCTCCTGCACGCCCCCGACTGGGGATCGAGCCCACAGCCCGGGCATGTTCCCTGACCTGGAATCGAACCCCGATTGCCTGGATCCTAGGTCAACGCTCAACCGCTGAGCTACGCCCAGCCAGGCCACTTGTTGTTTTTTTAATGTAGGAGAAAGAAAAGGGATGAGCCAGTAGTCAGGACACCTGGTCAGGTTTTGGGTGACCATGGGCAAGTCACTGTTGTTTGGGCTTCAGTTCTCTCATCTGTAAGAATTGCAAACTAGCTGCTCTAAGCCCCCTTCCAACACGAAGGTCCCACCTATCGGAGGACAAAGGATCTGCCCATCAGACTATTGCTCTGGGGAAGGGAGAGATGAGGCCAGGAGCAGGCTCGTGGCTCTCCTCACTAACTGGTTGCTGTGGCCACTCTAACCCCAAGTGGGCTCGTGGGGAGAATATGCATTTGAAAAGATTGTGTATTAACACTGGAGCTTTTCAAATGTATGCATGATAGTCCCGAACTTCTAATAACTACAAAGTAAAACCTTTACCAGTTATAAAAGTAATATGTAGTAGTTATAACAAGTCAATTCAAGCCCAGGTGTATAAAGAAGTGAGACTCCCTTTCCAGTCCTGTCCCTGACAGTTTGGGGAACATCCTTCCACTCCTTTCTCTACTCGTACAGACATACATTTACATCTTTTTTCTTTTCCTAACCAAAATGTGATTTTACTTTATACCTTATTCTACAACGTGCTTGCTTTACTTTATCATGGAGATCTTTCCATGTCAGTACATATAAGATGTAATTTCTGTTAATGGCTATTGAATCTTCTATAGTAAATATGTACTATAGTATATTCAACTAGTCCTATTTGGTTGAAGAGTTGGGCTATTTCTGGAATTTTGCTATCTCTAAGAATATTTCAGCCACCATATATATATCTTGCTATATACAGAGATACACACATGTGAGTGAGAAAGAGAGAGATTGTGATGTCTGTATCCTGGGAGTTGTATTTCTACAAATTAGTTTTGTCCAATGTGGCATTTTTGAATTAAAAGAGATCAAAATTTAAATTTTTTAATTGAAATTTTTGGTCATTACACGTGTTCTCAATCAACAGATACTGGAAGTATAGTTTGGCTGTGTGTGTGTGTGTGTGTGTGTGTGTGTAATATTTTGACCTTGAATAAGGGTTTTCACACTGACCCCCACAAGGCTTGGACTCCCTGGGGTAGACCAATAGGAAGAACTGCCCCTGGCCTGCCTCCTCACTCAGGGAAGGTAGGAAAGGAAGATTGAGGCTACTTTGAATAACTCATTTTCTCCTTTGTTTCCTAATGTATACCCTTGACCTGATTTGGAAGCAGTCCATCTGCTCAGTGGATAGGGCATTTTTTCCGCACCTGAGCCCAGTGACCAGAAGAGCTTGTCATCATCATAGGACCTGGAATGCCAGATCCCTAAGAGTCCATGTATACCACCAGGGTCACCTTTCTTGTGTTACAGATGGGGAAATCCTAGAGAGGGGAAGGACTTGCCCGGGGTCACCTAGAAAGTTGGTAGCACCACTGAGTCCCAAAGGAGCCTCCAACTACCAGGCCAGTTCCCAGGGGAATTTATTTAGTACCCACTGAGAGATGGATACAGGGTCAGGCCTGGATTTGCATCTACCATGTGCCTGGGGACAAGTCTGTTTACCTTCTCTGGGACTCAGTTTCTCAGTCTGGAAACACCTTTGCCCCAGGGCTGCCAAGAGATCACAGAAAGAATTAAGAGTATGGAGGAGGAGGTGGGGGCTGACTCCCTGAGAGCCTCATGGGGCTGTGCCTGGTGAAAACCACTCCTCCCCTTGCTCCCCAGCTGGTGTTCCCTCTTGAATGGTTTCCGCTCAACAAGCCCAGCGTGGGGGACTACTTCCATATGGCCTACAACATCATCACGCCCTTTCTCCTGCTCAAGGTACAGTCCTAGGCTCCTTGCCCTCCCTTCCCACCCTCATTGCCACCTCCAGCCAGCAGGGAGCTGGTGCCAGCCCTGGGGGTGCCCTGAATCAGGCTTTCGTTCCTGAGTCTGGGAGATGAAGGCTATGATAGAGCGACAGATAGAGGCCTGGGGGCCCAGGGAAGGCAGGACTGCCTCTGGGTGGGATGGATGGAGAAGTCCTCCCCGAGGAGAGGTGTTTGATTTGGGTTTCAGCCTACTGTGCCAACGGTGAAATGGGAGAGGCATTCAGGCAGAGGGACCTGAAGATAAGGCCACACTTGGGAAACCATAATTCATCTTGGGAGGCTGAGGCAGGAATGGCTGGGTTGCGCTGGAAGAGGTCAGAGACCAGTTGGGAAGGCAGGTGAGGGCCAGGTGACAGGAATGGCAGCAACGGAGGGGGAACTGTATCCTCTGGCCTGAGATCCTTGACTTTGAGATGCTACTGGGAGCACAGAACTAGCCAGGGCTGCCAGTTTCACACTTTGCCACATAAAGGGCTCTTAAAACAAGTATATCACCATCTACTATCCTCATCATTTTGTTTTAAAAAATATTTTTCAAATCTCCAAAAGTCAGAAGTGTATAATGGCAGAATTCAGAGGAGTTCTCGGTTACGTAATTTAATTTCAGAACCCCCACCTGTTATTTTTTGGTGTTTAGCATGGACCAATCACTCAGAAATGGAAGGGCCTCTTCAATAGGCCAGCCCGGCCACCTAGGGGCACAACTAGGGGCTGTGGAGGGTTGAACCAGGTGCCCCAGTGCCTGTGTTGAAGGCCTGGCTGTCACATCCAGTGCTGGCTTGTGTGTGACTCTGGGCAGTGAGCTGGCCCCTCTGTTTCCTCTCTAGGGAAAGGGGGTGCTGTTCCCTTGGCCCCCCCGATCGGTCCACAGGGACTGGAAGCTGGGCTGGCCCACTAAAGGGACCCACTAATTTGTGAGCGACTTTCCAGCTGGTGGCGCCCATCCCACCCCGGGTGCTAGGGAGCGAGGCCGAGGGTAGCTCCTGTTGGGACGAGGCCGGGTCCCACAGCCCGTCTCCCCCTGACGCAGCTCATCGAGCGGTCGCCCCGCACCCTGCCCCGCGCCATCGTCTACGTCAGCATCATCACCTTCATCATGGGCGCCAGCATCCACCTGGTGGGCGACTCGGTGAACCACCGCCTGCTCTTCAGCGGCTACCAGCACCACCTGTCAGTCCGTGAGAACCCCATCATCAAGAACCTCAAGCCCGAGACGCTGGTGAGGCGCCGCCCCCTACAGGCCAACCCCGCGGGCACCTGCGCCCGGACGGCCACAGGGAGGCGCGGTCGCGGGGCAGCTGGGACCCCGTGGGGTTAGGAAGTGCGCGAGGCTTCCCTGCGCCCCTCCCACTGGGGGCGGGGAGTGAGGGAGGTTGCGGGGCGGCCTG